GTTGTCCTTGGCGCGCGCGCGCGCTCTCCGAGGGAAGGCCTCGCCCAGAACCTCGGGCGCGGGCCTGCTTGCGAGGGCGCGGGCCCCGCTCTGGAAGAGGGGCCGCGGGCGCGGGCCCCAGCCGCGCGCGCAGACGGAACGGCCGTTCAAGCTCGGGCTCGCGGCGGCAGTTCGGCGGCGAGGGCGCGGGCCCCGACCGCGAACGCAACGGGAAGAACCGCCCAGGCACGGGCCTGCGGCGCTAGCTTGGCAGCGAGGGCACGGGCCCCGACCGCGAGCGCACTTCGCCGCTGCCACCCAGGCACGGGCCTGCGGGGTCTCAGCGGCGAGGGCACGGGCTCCGACCGCGCGCGCGAGAGGAACGGCCACCCAGGCACGGGCTTGCGGCGCTCGTTCGGCGGCGAGGGCACGGGCCCCGACCGCGAACAGGAAGACGGCGAAAGATGCGGCCACCCAGGCACGGGCCTGCTGGGCCGGCGCTGCGCCGCGGCAAGGGGGCGGGCCGTGGCCGCGGTCAGCGCCGGAAGCGCGGGCCCCCGACCGAACGCAGAGGCTTGGGGCGCTGAGCCGTGTAATTTTGCAAATTCGCCCCCCCCAAATCGCCCCTGCCATCCGCCCCCGATGGTAACCACTTCATTGTCGTCGTCATTATGCATCCAGGCGCGACACCCCTCCCGCCCAATCCTCGCCGCTACGCACAATTGCGGCGACGCGCGTGCCCTAGCCTGGTGCAATTGCCTACCCATCGTGCGGCCAGCGCGTGGACGCCGACAGGCATCGGCAGGTGGTAGCGGGTGTTTCATTATGATCTTCGAGTATTTGCCAGTGGTCTTCAGCCTCCCCCAAAACGTCGTGGGGGGCCATGTTATGCATGAATCCTGGAAGTCTCTCGGAGTTTGCATCTGCCCGCATCCCCGCCCGCATCTGTCGGCCGACTTTCTTCAGCCTCGACCGATGCTGCTGCGAGCGCCGCGCGGGTGGCGCGCGGCGGCTGGTGGAATCTACAGCTGCGCAGCCGTCAGTTGATTTGGTGATCTTCAGTTTCGATATCGCCATCGCCGTGGGTCCTATTCGAGGGGGTCTGATTCGGGAAGCTACTTTCGTGGGGTATACCGAAAACTTCAGGCGCCATCTTAGCGTCATCATGCAGGGGGGGATGCTTGCGAGACTTGGTCGGCATCGAGGCGGCACGGCGCACCCCCCTCTTGAGTAAGGCCCAGCGAATATGTTTGGACATTGCCTTTGGGTGTCTTGGTAGAAGTCTGAGCAGCGTAGAACTGGGTTTCAATTATTGTTGCATCTGGTCTGGCGTCTTGCGGAAAACCGGAGGACGGGCGCCGGCGGCTGCTCGGGGCGCCCCGCCATTCCCACCTGGGCCTCCCGGGATCCTGCCGCATTTCGCTCGCGCACCGCGCGGGCGCTCGCGTCTGCTCTGCGCGCTGCCTGCTCTCATTTCGATGGGTGTGAGCTTCAACATTGTCCCGCCTGCCCCTCGACGGTCAGTCGAGAGCTCACATGCGCCGCGCTCGTTCGCGCGCCCCCCTCGCACCCTTCAGGGTTCGCCAGGGAATGGGAAGCGCCCCCGCGGCAGAGCAGCCCGCGAGGCCCTGGCCGTCAAGAGCGGGGACGGCGTCTTGCAGGCGGCCTCGCAGAAGACGCGCCCCGCTGGCCTTTGCAAAGCTGTGGCTAGGGCTCCCGTTGGCTCTGCGCCTTCTCCTCCGCGCCCCTCCCCATTCGCTTGATCCCGCTGCGCCCTGGTTGGCGCGCGGGCCCGACGGGGCTGCCGCGCGCAATCCCTCGTGGAGTTGCACGCCAGATTGGCTGAGGGCGCCCCGGGGATCTCGACCCCCGCCCCCGACTT